TCATTGTGGGCCTACTAATTGGCATGTAAAAAATTTACTTGGCTCAATTTTTCGTTACATTAAACTCTAAGGTCGGACCGAATTTGAAATTTATAGGTTAATATTATAGGGAGTTATGGGGCGTGATGTGAGCGTGCCCTTCTGATACGTCTTTTGTCCCTTTTTCAGTCATTATTCGCTCTTTTGCAAAGAAAAATAATTATTTTTATGTATAGAACACTTTATTCAATTTAAAATGTTGAAAAAGATGTTAAAAAATAATATAAATAAATAAATAAAAATATTCCGAAATTTATCCGGTTGTTAGCAATTTCTCGCTATTTCCCAAAGAAAAAATTAATTATTTTTATGTATAGAACACTTTATTCAATTTATAAATACTGAAAAAGAAGTTAAAAAATAATATAAATAATATAAATAATTAAATAAAGATAATGCGAAATTTATCCGTTTGTTAGCAATTTCTCACTATTTCCCAAAGAAAGAATAGTTATTTCTGTATACAGAACTTTTTATTCACGTTAAAATATCGAAAAATATGTTAGAACACTTGGAATTTGATTTAAGCATGTTTGTTAGTTAACTAAATGAAGGATTACCGGATGGATTTGAAAACAATCAATGTTACTTGAAAAAAATATATATAAACTTAGAAATAAAAAAATTAACGACACAATAAGAAACAAAAGCGAAGTAATTTTACTCGTTAGTAATTTAACGATAACTTTAGGTCATTATGTCAAATCAAATAGAAAACTGTTCCATTGTTTCTTAAATTTGTTTCTTGTAATTTTAAAAATTTAAATATATATATTAAAATGTTATATGTTGCAACATGTAATCTCTCTACTACTTTCTTGTTACTTTCAACTCCAAATTAAGTGCGAATTTATAAATAAAGAAATCGAAAGAGATCATTAAAATTTTCTACAACAATGGATTATTATTTACTGTTCAAGGGTGACCTGTGGCAGATTGGTTATTTTTTCCTACAAATTAAACAGTTAGTATAGTCTCGAACTAATTATCAAATAGTAACTTTTTAACCCAGTTAATTTTTTTACGTACCGTGAGTAAAGTAAAAAACTGACCACTCAGAAGAATAACTTTTGATTTAATGATCGGATCTTAAAGTTCTAGGACTCGAAATTAATGGTTTAAGGGGGTGACATCAAATGTGTAGACAAAATTTTGATTTCTGACTCCCAAAATATAAGGGGTATCCGTAATCTAGGAAAGATGGCCAGATGAGTTGTCCAAAGTTTGGCCCCCTTAATGTTAATTTTATTTTTGGCGTATTTCACCATTTCTCGAGAACTTTTTAAGCGAACTGAGACCATTTTGCACACACTTATGAAATTTGTGTATCCAAAGATAATTCCATACAAAAAATAGCTTTCAGCATATATTTATTATTTTTAATACCTTATTTAATAGAATTTTGAATTTTAAGGCATATAACATTTTAAAGAAAGTAATTTTGCACGGGTAAATACTAAATTTGAGCAAACTTGGTTGAATAGTTCATGAGAAATTGAATATTCGATTTCTCAGAAACTATTCTACTAAACACTTCTATTACACACTTAACAAATTCATAAATAAACTTTATTTCGTTCTGTTGTTCTAGGTGCTCCACCTGAAAATAAATTAATTTGTAACAGAATAATTGGCAGCTAATTTTTTTTGTTACAGTGGATAAATATATACAAGTGGATAAGTATTTTTAGCCCCACCCCTCAATTCCTCCAATTATGCATTCAAATTAGTTAAATCAAAAGTTATTTACTAACTCAACTCAATGCGAGTCATCGTTACTGTTGACTTGAGTCATTTTGAGCCTTATGAACTGATTCATTTTTAACTTAATTCCACAGCGGATCGTGTTCTCAGAAGTTTAAGTATAAGACAGGTTCTCATTATAAAAGTCGGTTAAGTTTAAAAAAGGTATTGCCATTGTCTTTTTAGACCTTATTCAGAAGTGAATTTTATTATTTTAATTTATTTCAGTAAATCGTATCCGGGAAGTTGGAATTCTGTTCTAGAATGGTTCTAGAATATCTATAAGATCGAGCATCGTTTAATTTTAAAAACGCGATGCTTGTGTCGTTTTAAACCTTATGAATTGAGTCACTTTTTTAAATATGAACTCCACAATAGATTTTTTCCATGAAGTTTGATTCTAAAAATGATTCTCACTATTCCAGGGAGTCAGTTTATCGTTTAAGTTTAAAAAATTATAATAGCTTGTGATATTATAAATATAATTGTGCAGAAGTTGGTCAATTTTTAAAATTGATACTCAAACACTCTTTGTTGAATGTCATGTTTGTTTTTACACTTCATGTCATGTTTGATGATCTGGCCAAGTTATTTTCCTATCTCACTATTTTAGCTTGCCAATACTGCATAGCTAGTGTAATTCTACAAATTCTACACAATTGTACATAGTTTATGATAGCCTATTTTTAAAATCTGATATAAAAGAAAGATGGTTTAAATAAATAAAAAAAATGACATATGACAATAATAGTAACTTTTATTTAATACAAATAAACATACGTACAGGTTTCTATTATTATAAAAGAAAACAAAGTATGGTTTGAATTAACCATTCATATATCATCAATTTGTTTTTTCATACAAAATAAATGTTTAAAAGAATAAATTAAATATTCACGAGTTGAATGTATTAATAAATAAATTAATCGCAGCAAATAAAATGGGCCTCCATTGATAATTTTTAATTTAATGATCGAATTTACTATTTTAATATTTGCAATCTTCATTATCCGATATGTCAACTGTAGTTATATTTATCAGTTAAGTAATAATTTTCAGTTTACAAAATTAGAAATTAAACAGAATGATGCGTTTTTCCCTGAATGAATATTGAACAGAAAATATATACATAGTTGATAAATTGTTAAACATAAACAAGCAGTTAGCACACATTTTTTGAAAAATATTATTTTATAGAGTTTACGAGCAAAGCTAAAGTTAAAAAATAAGCAGCAATAAAAGCATCTCACATGTGATATAAAGAAAAGATTTTACTTGAATAGTGATCCAGCTCTATTTGTTAGTCTAACTTTTATGTTTATACAAGTAATTTCGATTTTAAATTTTCAACATAGTGTATCTCCAGTTTAAATTTACTGGAAAAAAGGTGGGTCCCAAGAATCAATCAAGACGGGAATATCATTACATTTATTACACTTTACACTCCACATTGAAAAATAAAAAATAATGTAATGGAGTTGGACTACTATTTAAATAAAGCCTTCAAATTATACAGCGAATTTCCGTAGAATGAATAAAAAATAATGTTAATGCATGTTTTCACTTTTTCTGCTAATTCAAAATTTTCCAATTACTAATATTAAAAAATTTTTTCAAATTATTGGGAGAGGGGAAAATATAATTATCCGTAAATGTAACAAACTAATAAAGATAATAGTTCAAAATCTGATTACAACTAACAAGGGGAGAAAAACAATAACAAATTGTTTATAGTCAGTGAAATTTTTTTAAATGTTTCAAGCTTAAAATATTATTTTTTTATTAAGAATTTTAAAAATAGTTACATATAGCTTGACCCATAGTGACTGTTCTAAATATAGATTTTTAGCATAGTACGAAAACCAGTTTTATCGCCCAATAAAATTTGAAGATGTTTCTACTAATTGCCTTCCATCTCTTCTCCTTTTTATTCGGCAATCAAGCAGGTTTTGATATTTTCAGTAACCTTCCTCATTCGTTATATTGTGAAAGTATTTTTTCTCTGCGCTTAATTGATATGCAGCATCAGATCTACATACTTTGACGTAATTTTCGTGAAGTATTCTAAAATTATACATTAAGGGTGCGTATTACGAAACACCCTGTATATTAAGGTAATATTTGCTTAGATTAAATGCTTATGTAACGCTAAAATGTGGGTGTGCATCTACTTTTTCTGATAATAATAGAAGTTGCATTCGTCATTTACTTGATAGTGATCAGTAGAGCTCGGATTTTGATGACCTAAAAAATCTCAACTAATGCCCTTAAAAAGTGCAAAAAATGCCCTTAAAAAGAGCCAAAAATGCTCTTAAAAATGCAAAAATTGCGCAAAAAATGCCTTAAACAAAGTAAAAATATTGAATTAAAAAAATAATTCGGTCTTTAAAATTATTATGAGTCATTTAAAAAATATAAAGCAATGCAATACTTGTTCTACGTTCATTAAAGTTTAAAAAATATGTGTTATATCCTAAAATAACAAAGAAAGGAAAATATATTGACACCAAAATATTTTTATTTTGTATAGAAACTTTAATGGATATAACAACTTCCATCTCATAATATTACTAAATATCAGAATTACATTGGATTATTAAATGTTTCTTGATAATTTAAAATGTAAGCGAGCGTCTCCTGTCTGAAAGTAAATTTTCATTCCTGCAGAAGCTTCTTTCAACGTCTACTGATGTTATAGGTGCGTACTTGAAAAAGACAGTCTCACTTACTTACAATTCTTCTTCAATTTGAAAAGATTTTGCTTCACCTGTTAATATTCTATAGATTTTCTTCATTGTTTGGAAGCCAGTGTAATAATAAAAATCGATAAAAAATAGTAAAAATTGGAAAAAATTAAAAAAAAACTTTAAAAATTGCATTAAAATGCAAAATACGCCCCAAAATTTAAAGAAAAATGCCCTATAAATCTAAAAAAATGCTCTAAAAGGCAAAAAATGTCCAAAAATGCATAAAAATGCAAATGTCATCAAAATCCGGGCGTTAGTGATCAGTAAAAACAAAACAAGTAAACTGATCCTAGTTCACTTGACGTTGGGATAACTGTGAATTGGTTTCGTGGTTTTATTCACCATCTTCAGTAAATGCCATACATAAGTTTTTCTCTCCGGGTAGTGCCAAGTTTAGCACAAATAGTCCTAAATAGAAAAAACATTTGTCTCAATGTTTTTTCAAGAGTTACTCTGTCTTTTGGGTTGGGCTTGAAAATACAAGGTTACAGGATAAAGCATTGATAACTACAAATCCAAAACAGATTAGCTGCTCAACGCCATAAAACAAAATCAAAACGGAAAAAAACTAAAAAGAAAACATTCTTAGGCTTGAAACATTTATGTAGCACAGATTATAATGGTTTATTGCGATACGTAACAACAAGAAATATATATATATATATATTTAAAAAAACACTTTGATATTTAATAATATTTTGGGGCAACAGTTAAAATAGACAATAATCATCGGGGAGTACAGTTAAGATAAAAAATACTACAAAGAAATATTAAGTCACGTTGTGTTTAAATTTAAAATATCTAAGACAAATATACAACACTGTACAATTTTTAGTTTCCGCTGTTTAGTCCATGATACTGAACTTGTAAACTCTTTTAGGAGCAGAAGGATCAATTTCAGATACATATACAAACTTGCCATCTGGTGACACGGCTAGGTCATGAGGAAGCTGAAAACCCTATATTAAAAAAATAATAATTAGTTAATTTAAATTAATTCCTTCATTTTTTAATTCAAGTAGAGTATTAAATAAATAATCCGAAGAAACTGATGCGATAAGATATTACTAGATTAAAAACTTCATTCGCCTTAAGAATAATTAAATTGGAAATAACAGTCGAAATGTTTCAAGCGCTCAAAAACAGACACCCATTTCCAAGACCTCCCAGTCGTGAATGAGAAGAAACAAAAGTAATTTGAAATATAAAACTTGAAGTTGCGGACGGAAAAAGGAAAAATAAAGGTCAAAAACAAAACTAGAAAAACCTATATAGCTGAGAGGGGTGAATCAGGGTAAAATAGTAGCAGGGATGCATTTTACCTACTGTGGTTTTCCAGTTTTGTTTCTCATCTTCATTTTTCATAGGTAACTTAACGTTTCATATTTCAAATGACTTTTTATTCTTCTTATTTACGTTTGGTAAGCTTTGAAAATGGACGGCTGTTTTTGAGTGCTTGAAAAGTGTCGACTATTTTTCCCCATTTGTATATTTTTGAAGCGATTTGAGTTTTAAATCTATAAATAAACTGGAGTTTAATTTTCACAAATAGAGTAAAGGTGAAAAATAATGAGAGTAATTTTAAAAGGAGCTTTCACAAATAAAGTAGTGATTAAATGAAGAAAAAAAATGCGATTTATTAAATTTCAAAAATTAAAATCATTATCAAAATTAAAATTTAATTTTCAATGATAGTATAATGAATAAATAAAAATGAGCAACATTAAATTTAATTTTCAATAATAATATAATGAATAAAGAAAATATATCAACTTCACATTTATAAAGTAATGATTAAATAGAGTAGAGTATATAAACCTTTCACAAAAAAAAATAGTTAATAAATAAAATAGAACAACGTTTAAATTATGTAATGATTAACTAATGATTAAATTAAACAGTGCAGTTAAACTTTTCAAGACTAAAATAGTTAGTAAATAAAATATAGAAAATTTAAATTTCATAAAAAATAAGAAAATGTAACTTTCATTAATAGATAAAATACTATTAAATAAAGAATTTAATTCTCAGAAATGAAGTAAATATTAAATCTAGTCCAGAAACTTTAAGCTTAATTTTGAATAATAATAAAGAAGTGATTAGGTTGAGCAATAGAGCTTTAAATATATTTTTCACAAGTAAAGAAATGTCAAAATATATAACTTAAAATTTACGAAATAGTGCTTAAATTAAACATAATAACAGAAAACTTAATTTTACATTACAAATGAAATTAATGAATTACACTAGGAAACACTGTTTTTTTTTTCTGTTGCCAGAAAAATTTTAAAAGGTTGGATTTCAAATTTGCATTTACTTTCTTTATCTAAGCTACAGTTTGTTTGTTACTTATTTTTAAGAAAATAACTATTTTAGTTTATTTATGTCGAAATATACAAATTTAAAAACTCTCTATGTAACAGGGGCGTAAAAATGTTGCGATAAATTTTAAGGCAGGTTAGGGCGCATCATCATGATTGAAATTGCATAGGAACTCAAGCCCGGAAATGTCACCATGCACCGCTAAGGACGCTTCTATATGTGCTTCTGAATAGGTCATAATAGGAAAGCGCCCCTAGCCACGTACGACGACGTTGCCGGGCATAGGGTTCTATGCCATTTTAATCCTGATGTGCTCTAACACCTCTAGAAGTATGTCCCAACCATTATGCGACCCCCTGACATAATAACGTTTGAAAACTGGTTGATTTCGACAAGAAATATACTAAAAATGAAAATAAAATTTAAAACTTTAAGAGCAAAACTGGTTTCAGATTTGCAATCCCCACAAGCAAAAGTATTTCAATAAATGCAACAAGAAATTTGTTCTTCTGTGGAATGACTTACTCTTTCTGGTCCCCAGAGAGTTAAAGGCGATCCAGATTCAATATCAAACACTAGTCCATGGTCAGATGACACAGATAGGCTGTTTTCCCATAAATCGGGTCCATTTACTGCAAACAACTGTTTACCTGCAATATGAATTCATTTTTTTAAAAAAATGCCTCAAATTCATGTCCGAATGTAAAATGATATACAAGGTATGTCATCAATAATGGTGCAAACTTCAAGGGGAAGCGACCCATGATCAGAAATGTCATCATACGCTACTAGGGGAGCTTTCTTATTATTGCAACATTGTTCGTCTGCCTTTTAACGTGTACTTTTACTTATTTAAAATATCTTAGTTAGATAAAAAAATCCCAAGAAACTGAGGGGGTAAGATACTACTTGATTAAAAGCTTCATTCGCTTCAAAAATTTACAAATTGAAAATAACAGTCGACGTGTTTCAAGAGTTAAATAATCGTTCGTTTTTAAGACTTGCTTAGAAGAAACAAAAGTGATGACTGGCATGTCTTGAAAATGGGTGCCTATTTTTGAGCACTTGAATTATATTGACTGTTATTTTCAATGTGTGTATTTTTGAAGATTTGATTTTTAATCACGTGATATCTTAGTTTCACTTTCACTTTATATTTTCTTATAACTACTGTCAAAAATTGTATTAAAATCGGCACAGAAACCGTAATTTAAGGATTTGGTGAGCTTGTCAAGTTAATCGCTCAATCATATATTAGCTCATATATTTTGATACAATTTTCGACAATAATTATTAGAAAACATAAATTAGGATAATTTAGATAAGTACGAGTACTAGCTCAGAGGCACACGGAAAAGCAATTTATAACAAGGAAGTGTCACTAACAGCTTACGATGAGACTTCCGACCGTGAGTTACTACGCTATTTTCCATTTATTTAATATGCCCTAAAAATATTTATTGGACACCCTGTATAATTAACACAACACATGCTTATTTCAGTTATTATTACAAAAATAAAGGTACACATTTGCGAACTTAGAATAAAGATATGCGATAGTATCGATATTATCAATTTATTTAGTATTAATACTTATATATTATTTTAATAATATTTATATATTTTACTAATAATATTATTGATACGAATACTTATATATGATGCCTTAATACTATAAATAAACATACACGAAAGGCCTGGAGCAATATAGGTAATAAGTCACATTTATTCTAAAATGTTAAATTGTTACATCAATCTGTTCCTTAGTATTGCTTCCAGATAGGATCTTTATAAATTTTTGTGAATTTTATCCAGACAACAGTATTATTATCTTAATAGTAACAATAGGCTTGTTAATAAATTATCGTCATTATTATAATTTATTAACAACATTATTATTATCATAGAAATCGTGGCGTTTTTGCAATTTAAAATGAGCCACTATTTTTACGTACCCTGATCTGGCAAATAGACATTGGTGGATGTCTAATAAATGTCTATAGTCACATGTTCCCAAAATATTTGTTAAATATCCTTTTTTTTCTAATTAGCACTGAGAAATGTCAATCTTTCGATGTGGAATTAAATAATGTAATAATTGTTTCTCACTTCACAGGCAAATGTCGCCATTCAGTTTTAGACTTGCATTGAATGTTCAAAATCGCGAGTTAGTATGTACTGATGACAAGGTTCTATTCTCAATCCCTTGGGTATTTTTTCTTGGGGGGGGGGGCGTCAATGTTTTTTTCATTTTTTTATTTCTTAATCTTTAACTTTTTTCAAACTTTTATGAGAACAAACAACGCAGTGTCACCGTACCTTCTATCATTAACGTTTTTTATTTTCGAAAGATTAATAAATCTTAATAACAATAAGCTTTTCTTCATACTAATCTTGTTGTATTAGTTAAAATTTTTTGAATAGCCGTCGTTGAACAGCCAACCCAATTTTGAGTTTATGACTACTAATGTTCATCTCCATCGTCGTGTGATTTTGAACCTAATCCAGAAGACGAGGGAACTCCAGGGGCCGGAATAGCCTGGTCGTTAGGGAGCTGGGCCCATGTCCGAGAGTTCGAACCTCGCCGGCCGAGACTCCCCGCGTAGTAAAGTGACTGTTGCACGTTAAATCTGTCGAGTCGCAAAAGTCCTCCATGTTCCCATAACAAATCCATACCTCTGGGGGTACTGGATTGGAGATCGATCGTTCTCTGATTCAGGTCAAAATTACGATCTGTGGATGGATGCATGAATGGGTCCGCCCTATAAGCGAGTGTGACGAATGGTGTGGCAGAAGTCGAATTCTTGGCCATAGATGGCGCCACTAGAAAACAAGAACAATCACATCCCCTCTGCCTAAAAACAGGCATACGTCAACAACAAGGGAACTCCTTGATCAAGTATTGAGATAAATTGTTGCCATTATGGAGGATTTTTTGATTGAATTAACCCGCATTTGCGTTACACGGAAAGGGAAACCACAAAATCCTCTCACTATTAACCTGACTCTAACCAATGATCCGTCTACCGCTGAGGATATTTCACGTCATCACTGTGGGTAGTGCAAACCGGAGGCGAAATTCGCATCGATCAGACATCACTGGGATTCGAACCCGGCTCATCTCATTGGGAGGTGAGCGCTCTATCCCCTGAACCCATTATTTTTTAATCCCGTTAGTTAAGTTCAATATAACCTACTAAAAACCAGCGTCCAATATATTAGGTAACATTTCATGCATTTTTTTATGTTTCTTAACCCTTAGACGCAGAATTTATTTTAAACATATATTTTTAACACTTTTTTCATTATTCTGTATTAATTTAGGCCAAAATAAGTGAAAAATACTGTATTTAACACTTAAATAATTCACGGTTATTAAATACAGGAAGAAACACCGATGCGTTGTGGTTTTCTACGTTACAGGTAAATTCTTCCTAACACAGCTCACTTTCAAATAAAATGCTTTCAAATTTTCGCTTATTTGCAGCTATTTACTAAGATAAATGTAATTATATCCACGTAAAATGTAATTATATCCACGAATAAATTAATATCATATCGGATGTAATAAATATTTCATACATTCACCAAAGTGACTATGTGATCGTAAACATTCACCGGTGAAAGTCAACAACCACCGATTTCGGTCATTCACAGTAACATGCACATCATTTACATAATAACCTCATCAAGACGTTTATTTCATACTTTGCCTAAATAGCATTTGGCATTCTATAACCTAGGCATTTTATACAATGCCTAAAGAAAGTATGTAATACTTTTAACATTCCATACTTTGCCTAAAAGCATCCGGCATTCTATACAAAGCCGGCGCTTCATACTTTGCCGCTAACATACAATGGGTGATTCTCACGAAATATGACAATTTACTGTCACTTGCTCCAAGATCTAATACTATAATACTAAAGAACTTTTTTTTTAAATTAATTAATAGCATTGCTGTTAGCATTTTAAAATGACTTTGCACTAGCATTGACTGTTTTGTATAGTGCCAGCAATCAATATCTTATATTAATAGATTGATTAGATGCCCTCCTATATGAACATGTCTTGTTGCATGAATAACGAACCAATTTTCTGGTTCAAAATCTATTTTTGTGTAGTCATTTTTCTGGCTTCTTGAAATCCTTAATAACATAAACTACATAGATTTATCTGATTTATTTTAAGAAATCCTGTAGTTTTCTGCAGAATATAAACGTCTTAGGCCAAAATATTAAAGTTATATGCTATAAAATTGCGAAATTGTCATTTACCTGGCTGTCATTTTCCTGGCTTATGAATGCCAGAACATTGAAGTGTTACCCGAATTTTTTTTTACTGTTAATACTGTAAGGAGGGAAAGCAAATATTAACCTAATACCAAGTTTATGTATGATCGTAATATGCTTGAGTGTAATCAAAGTTATTTATTTATCTAATGATTGATTATTATGCAGAATTTTATTCTGTACATATCAGCAACAAAAATTTTTTTGTTTCTTCCAACAGTGGATAAAATTATTTGTGCATGATTTCGTAACTTAAAATATCTTTTTCACTAATTAATGAGCATATTCGAGGCTTCCCCCTTGAACCATTAAGAATGAGTCCCAGAACGTGAAGATCCGATCATTATATCAAAAATTATTTCGAGTGGTTTTTTTTACACACTTTACAATCGTTTCTCACTATGAGTTATATATTATATTTAGGAAAGTTAATAAAAGATATTGGTTGGACGTGCTAATCTGGAAATTAGAGTATTTGTAAAGTACTTAAATAAAATAACGGCATGTTAAGTTTAACCAATATAAGGTATAGTACTTGTTAGCATTACAACTATTATAAGTGTACGTTAAAATACATCTGATTGTCTAAAATAAGTATAGAACCTTTATAACTAGAATCACTTTTTTTAGGTGGAAAATAGAGAATAATCCCATTTACTCAGTGCCCAAATCTGCATTTTTAATTAAGTAGTGTTTTCTTTTTAAACTTAACTTCTTAATGCCGATCCCCCAAAAGTAGTTCCTGCTGTGGCTTTATGTGATTGAAAATCAGTTATTAGAAATATTTCATAGCAATAAAACTGGTTTTGAATTTTTTTTAATCCTTAATCATGTGAAGATTTAATAGATTTCGATATCTTCCTTTTCATTGCTTAAATATCAAGACATGCACTCTGATTGCCATGCTAATTTAATTATAATAATTTTTAATTATGATTCTGAATAGGTATAATAATATTGTATTGGTACGTAAGTATTTAAATATTCGTGTTTCCATATAGTGATTTTAAGTACCAGTTTTATGGCGAAATTTCAACAATATAAATGTTTCGCTTAAAAGTCATTTTACCATTTTTCCAACAATGAATTGATATTTTAAAATTTTTAGCAACATAAAACTTAAACGAAATTCATTGTTAAAAACAATTTACTACTTCTTAACAATTAAACTTTAATCGTTAGTTCATGAACTGAAAAATACTCATTGTTAAAACACTATATAAACCTTTTCTAAAGCATTGTTGGCCATTCTAACTTGTACTTTCATGATTGAATGTGCTTATTAGAGTTCTTGCTAAACAGCAAATTGATTTTGGGAATAGATTTCCTGCGTTTTGATAAAGAGTTTGAGAAATGGGAAGATTCGGGGTTATCACGGATAGTGATGATGATCAAGACGAACCCATCGCCCCTGATTTATCAGGAGAATGCTACCAA